TTCCTAGGTAGATACCCAAAAGAAGGGAAAACGTATGTCCACACAAAACCTTATGAATGGTTGGAATCTACCATGCCTGCACATTTTGTGTGGAATAATAAACAGCCTTTCTGTTTAAACCACCATTCATTGGGGATTTTGTTACTTGTAAGCAAAAAAATTCCCCAGACAAACCAATTGCTGTCAAGTAGATTCAGATTCCTTAAGACCCCATGTGTGCCAAAGCACAACAGGGTTTCAATGGCTGACTTTTTCTCTTCTTCTTCTTCTCTCCAGAAGTCGGCCTCCAGGACTCCCTTTCCAGGTGCCCTGGGTGCTTTTCTTTTCTTCTTCTTCTCTCCGGAAGTCGGCCTCCAGGACTTCCTTTCAAGGTGCCCTGGGTGTACTCAACCACCAAGCTCGACCAGCAACTGAGTGCAGTCACTGTGTGCACCACCCAGGAACCTCTCGTGAGCAGAAGCGTCCAAAGTAATCCCCAGAGCGACGGGTGAGCAGATGCTGAAGAGGGACGTCTACACAGAAGAGCCTGCAGCTGGCAATCAGAAGTGGAACTACTGCAGCTCCGTGTCACAAACTGAGGCAGGTTCCGTAGAACCCTTCCCCAAAAGACAAATGAAAAGTGAAGGGCATGTGCAACTTTCTCTTTCAGTGCTTACTGCTGTTGTTAGGGGCCGCTGAGTCAGCGCCAACTCACAGCAACCCCATGGACAACAGAACAAAACTCTGCCCAGTCCAGCACCATGCTCACAATCACTGATCCCTGTTGTTGCTGTTAGGTGTCATTGAGTCAGCTGCGACCCTTAGCAACCCTACGCACAACAGAACGGAACACTGCCTTGTCCTGTGCCACCATCGGGATCACTGCCATGTCTGAGCCCTTTGCTGGAGCCACTGTGTTCCTCAATCTCATCGAGGGCTGTCTTCTTTCTCATCAACCCTCTACTTTACCAAGTGAGATGTCCTTCTCCAGGGACTAGAGCTCTTAGCTATCTCTTTTTAAAGTGAGAAGACATAGAAATGTTTAGCTATGCCACCCATGATTAGTATTTATAACAGATTTGGCCTCATTCTCCAAGATGAATTATCCCTACAAACATCTGAAATTAAGTAAATATTTTATCTGGAGGATATTTACTTTACCTACCTCCAAAACACAAAAGTATCAGAATGTTACAAACATTTCATGTAAAAAATACGTATGAAATGAGAAAAACAGCTGTGTCCCATAACAACACGAGAAACATTTAAATTCAAGGTTAAAGTGAAAAGCACTGTTGTAGGAGATGCAGATGAAAACTACAGTGAGATCCCACCATCCTACACATTAGAATGGCAAAGGTCACAAAAGTGGAAAATAACAGGTTGCTGACATTAGAGAGAAACAGGAACCATCATCCATTGCTGGTGGGAAAGCAAAATGATTCAGTCATCGTGACAAGTCTGGTGGTTCCTCAAAAAGCTAACCATAAAACTACCGTACAACCCAGCAATCCCATTCCCAGGTATATAGGGAACAGAGATCTATACACTGATGTTCACTGCAGCAGTTCACAAAAGATGGGAACCACCTAAATATCCATCAAGCAGTGAATGGACTAAGAAACATGGTATACACACACAATGAAACATCACTCAGCCATGAAGTGAAATCACTCCTCAGGCAGAGAGCAACATGACCCTAGAAACACCATACTGAATGAAGTCAGTCAGTTGCAAAAAGACAAATGTATGTATGACTTGACTTAGAGGAAATAAGCAAATACAGAGAAACCAAAGATTATGAGTGGTTACCAGCTGTAGGAGAGAGGGGAGATGGGTTTTTGGTTAGGAGCAGTGAGTTTCTGTTCATGGTGGTGGGATGAAGTGGAAAGGGTACAGGTGTGCATCCTGAAGGATGTCATGAATGGCGCTGAGTTGGACGTGCAAAAAGGGCTAAGATGGTAGATATTTTGTTACATATATTTTCAGCACACTAATCCTACTCTTGTAATAAAAGGTTTCGGATCATAGGAATTTGTCACATCCCTCCTCTTTCTTTTCCTTCCAAAGCAAAATCTGTAAATTGAAAATTACAGGATTTTTAAATGGGAAAATGTAGGTTTCTCAGAGACAGCAAGCGACGTCAATTTTGAAATGATTCAATGATCTTCACGTATGTAAGACCCCTTCAGTTTATCGGATGGAATTGGTAACGTAAGTTTCATGATAAAGTTATGAATACCAATGCCTAAGGCATGAGTATGAGCTTACTCACGTAGTGATACTGCCTCCGAAACGCAAGGAGGGATCACTATGAGTCAGGTCCGACTGGATGGCACAAAACAACAACACAACAACAAAGGCAGTGAGTAGATAACACAATTCCCTTGAAAAATCAGAGACACCAATCACTTCAGGTCTTCTAATATGTTGTCCTCTACTCTTCCACACAGAGAATTTAAACAGAGGATGATAGTAGTCTAAATTGTAACAGCAACACCAACAATCTAAACAAATAAAAATAATATTAGGCCTCCAAAAGCAACTCTGAGAGCTCTGGTGGCATAGTGCCTAAGGCATGTGACTGCTAACGAGAAGGCTGGCGGTTCAAACCCACCAGCCACTCCTCGGAAGGAAGATTGGGCAATCTACTTTTATAGTGATACAACCTTGGAAACCCAAGGAGGGGCTGCTATGAGTCGGATCCGACTCGATGGCAATGGGTTTTGTTTTTGTTTTTGGAAAAGCAACTCTAGTGAAACACCATTTTATCCAGAACTGCTGTAAACAACAGCAGAAAACTAAGAGCCCTGTGAGATACGAATACAGGTTCCCGCGTGGTGCAAATGGTTTGCACCCAACTACTAAGCTTGGCAGGAGCCCTGGTGGTGCAATGGTTAAGCACTGGGCTGCTAACTAAAAGGTTGGTGGTTTGAACCTACTCAGCAGCGCTGTAGGAAAAAAGACCTGCAGATCTGCTCACATAAAGACCACAACCTAGGAAGTCCTATGGGGCAGTTCTAATCTGTCCTATAGACTTGCTATGAGTCAGAATTGACTCAACAGCACACAAAAACTAAGGCTGCCAGTTCGAACCCACCCAGAGGTGCTGCAGAAGAAAGGCCTGGCCATTTGCTTCTGTAAAGATTATACAAGGCGGGATCCCTGAGACTGTGGCCCTTAGACACCTCTCAAGACTGCTGAATGGAAAAGTAATTTGCTCTGGAAACTTTCACCCAAACCACAACAAAAAGTTTAAAAAGAAAAAGAAAAAGAAAAAAAAATGACGACAACTCAGAAAACCCTATGGAGCAATCCTACTCTGTAACACGTGGGGTCGCCGAGCGTCAGAACTGACTTGGTGGCAGTGGGTCGAGCTAGATATAAATACAGGCAAAAGGGCAACCTGAAAGAAGAAGGGCAGAAAGCCTGGCACCAGCCATCCCCCTTCTCTCTGAGTAAAATACGCACCCACATGAAAGAACTCTACCATGGCAACATATTTTCATTCTTGAAACTGAAGTTTTAAGCCGTGTTTATAACAACAGCGTTGCTGTGGAAAGAGTTGATTCAACATTATGAACTCACAGCTGAATACAGTAAGGGGTGGGTCAGCGAGGAGCAGGCCTTCTGGAAACAGTCCCAAGAACCAGAAAACCCTCCAAGACGCATGGAACGACATGGGCCAGGGCGCCGTATGTTTGCTGCAAGGGTCGGACTTCTTTTTCCTCCAATGCCTGACACAAATAGGATGTTTCTTTTTAACTTGGTCCTATTTCTGGAAACGTATAATCATCTCAGCCACTCCCCCAAATGTACTAACTCTGCTGTCTGTTCTGTGTACATAACACGGCCTATGTTTTCTTAAATCGATCATGCTTAGAGCTCAGTTCTTCCCAGGACTAAGAAGTTCATGGCACCAACCAGAGCACAAGTCAAGAATCTGAAAAAGTTCTGCAGGCAGCTCTAAGTATCACAGTGCTGCCATACTCATCACACGGCACAACATCAGCCTGTGTCGTTAGGTCGACCCTGTGTAACTACAGGCTTCCAGAGCCCTTACCCACGATTCCAGGAGAGGAGTGGAGTGGCTGAGGAAGGCTGTTGATAATGCAGGTCCACCTGGCCCGTTGGCCCACCTCTCCTTTGTGCCTCAGCTTCTCTGGGCCAGTGAAGAGTCTCCCATGCTATCCTGAAAAGCCCTCAAAATGCTTTCCACTAAAATGGTGTGAACTGGTTCTCATACTGCGCTCCTCTCCTTCCCTCCCGACCTTTTATTGGGGAGAGGTGCGCCTTCCTGAAACACACACCTGCCCACTCGTTCCCTCTGGTTTTCAGAATGTTTCAAATCAGGACAAACACCTGTAAACCAGAAGCTGTGCTCCTTGTGCAAGAAGACATTGTTAGCAGATTTTTTTTTTATAGTGGGGCTACATGGGGGGCTACAAGACGACTGAGCTCCCCTGCTGGAGATGGTCACAGCACCCTGATACCCCATGGCTGGCCTCTAGGGCCAGACACTTGCTGCCAGAGTGGTGCTGCCCCATTCATACAAGCAGAACCAGAAAATCACAACCAGGTACCTGGAGAACAACATCAACGGGGCTGCCTTTCTGCAGGTGAGTCACAGAAGTTCTCTTGCCACCCCAGCAGGTATGGAGCCTAGGCCAGTTAAGGATGAGGCAAGGCTCACTGGGCTCTGGGCCTGCCCCAGGGGTAGCTGCCCCAGGGGCAGGGGCCGGAGCTCCTGGGAGAGCAGGGGGTGGGGCATGCCAAAAAGACCCCGGCCGGCAGCCCCTCTGCTCAGCCTTGGCCACCAGGCTTGGCTTTGCTCTCAGAGGCCTCTGTTTGACAAACCACAGGGCGCTCGGTCATTCCTGCAGCAAACAGCTGGAGTGCTGGGCTAGCTCCCCTGGCTGTGCCAGAGACTGGGCAACCTCAAGCGCTCACACCAGCACCCACAGGGTGAAAAGGAGCTGCGGCTCACGCTGAGTTTGTGTACAGCGGACAGGTCGGCTTACCCAGCTCCATCGACACAGGGGATGCGGTGGCAATCTCCCCGATCTTGGCCACTCCATCGTAGTAGGCTTTTCCTGCCAGGATCATAGCTAGAGGGAAGGGTGACACACACAAAATCATCACTTAAATAAGAACAAGGTACTTGGATGTCTCTTCGAAACACACCTCAGTCTCTTCTGGCTACACGGCAGCACATGCTGCTGGCAAACATGGCACAAAGGAGGCAGAGCTTGCTTTGCTGCGGGACACCTGTGCACTTCTGAAGCCCTCATGGCCCTTCACAGTGGAGATGCCCTGGGACCCCTCCTGGACCAGCCTTTGCCAGAGAAGGCCCTGCCTGTCCTGATGCTCCAGAGTGGCTGTGTCCTAACATCTCATTAGGGCACAAGTCTCACAGAGCCACAGGGCCGCACCACCACCCGTTAAAGGATGTGTGGCAGGTGGCCTGGGATGATGTTTTAATTTTTTCTATAGAAAAAAGCATTCAGAGTCACAAACAAGGGACATAGGTATTGTCAGGGAAAGTCTATGAGCTCAGAAACAGATGATCACTCCAAACAACATGACTGCCTGAAACACAACCAAATGTGCTATGCTTTTCGGGGTGGGGCAGAAACATGAAGCCTTTCACTGATGTACCAGTTGGGGTCCAGTGATCTTAACAATAGCATTTCTCTTCTCAAACCAGTTTGAAAGACTAAATTATAAGGCACAGGAACCTGGGTTTGATTTCTTTTCTTTTCTGGGGGTGGGGGCACATGGCAGACATGGGTCTGAATTCTACCTTTGCTTCCAACACCTGACCTGGCGAGTGACCTACTCTTTCTGAAACAAAGCCCTTCCCTCATCTATAAAACACACTAATAACGTAAGCATTGAACAGACAAAAGGTAGTTGTAATACCAATTCCTTCTCTTACTTTAACAAGCTAGACTGAAGGTGTACGACCAGCAAAGTTTCCAAGTTCTAGCCTTCTTCATGTAACGTTGGAGAAAATCACTCCTTTCACTTGACAGAGACTGGTTTCACACACAGACATCAGTTTCTCCCGCGATTCAGAGACCACGGGTTCTGGAGCTACAGAGCCCTCAGGAGTTCCCCTCCCTCTCCCACAAGGTAAGCCAGACACCACATCAGCTGCTTTGCCCCAGTGGATGATGGGTACTGCTTTCAAACAGATGGAGCTAAAAAGGCTTTGATATTTTCTAACACTGTTTTAAGGAATGAAGTGAAACATTTTAGTTCCATTTTAATGGTCAATCAAATACTCCATCAATCTAATCTACTTATTTCTGCCAGATAACATTCCCTTAAGAAACTGCTTTATCAGGCGACTGTTTTGCTCAGGAACCTTCAATGGCCTCCTGTGACTGACAGTGGGAACGAATTTGTGCATAGGTCCCGATGAAGTCACTGGCAGACCAAAACTTGGTATCTTTATATCTATTTCCTCTATGTTAGCATTTATTGCAATGTAAGAAATGACCAAAGCTATGGCTTTTACTATCTGCGAACACTAGTTTAGGAGATGTGCTATGACGCCACACTGTTATCTCATAAGACCAGTCACAACAAGCACTCGTGTAAGCCTTTCAAGTCATTACTTAATCCGACAATCTTAAGACGTGGTGGGCGATGCCATCACCCTGTCTCACCAGAGATGGGTGGCGATACTGTGGGACGTGCTCGTGGCTGGTGGTGAGTCAGCCGCAGGGCACACCTCTGGCTGAGGCACTTCCTGGGCTCTAAATTCTCCATTTCTCAACCTTTGGTCTCATGGGTGATGCCACCTAGGAAGATATTCTATCCAGTAAACACTGTCAAGGTTACTATCTGTGATGTTCTAGGATGAAGGTTTAAAATTATAAGGCACTAATAAGCCGAAAAGCAAAGTAGTGGGAAAATGGAATACAGGATTGCACAATATTTAAGCAGCATTTTTGGTTTGCATCCATCCATTAAATTGAGTTTTCATTAACTGGTGACATATATTTAAACCATTTAACCTGGTCAGTCTAGCAAAACATCTTACTTTTATGAGAAAGCTGAATTAACTTAAAAACATATATAAGTCATTCAAAACCAATAAAGATTAAATTATTATTCATAACTTTGCTCCCTTTTGTGAACACATTAAGAGATTTGCTACCACTTATTGTCTTAAGGAATGAAATGAAACATTTGGGTTCTATTTTAATGGTTGGTCAACTACTTCAATTTAATCTACCTTCTTCTGCCACATAGATTTTCCTTCAAAATCATTTCATCAGGTGAGTGCTCTGCCCACAAACATTCAGTGGCCTCTCATTGTTGACAAGGTGAACCCCGGATCTCCAGAGCTAATGGTAGATCTTTACATAAGCGCCTTCAATGAATCACACCTCCCAGAATTCCCTGCCCCCCTACTACACTGCTTGGTCATGTGACTTGCTTTGGCCAACGGGACATCAGGCAGCATGACTCCCCCAAAGGTCTGGTAAGTGCTGTGCACTGGGGTTCACGCTCTTGGAACTCCAGTACTATCACCTGACCACCCAGTATGGCCTCCTTAAAGGTGAAAAGACCCTGTGGGGACAGTGCGAGCCTAGCCATCAGCTTCGTCCAGGTCCCAGGTGAGTGCAGCTATAGAGTGAGCCCCAAGGGTCCAAAGAACCGCCGGCCATGAATAATTAATTGCTGTTGTTTTAAGCCACCAAGCATGGGGCAGTGTGTTACGCAGTAATGAAGAACTGATGCAGCCTTAAGATACATTCATAACCTGACCACACCCCACCTTACTATAGCCAGAATGCTCCTTAGAAGCAAGGGGGGTGAGACTTTGTCTCATGCACTTTGGACATGTTATCAGGAGGGGTCAATTCCTGGAAAAGGACATCATGCTTAGTAAAGTACATGGGTCAGCAAAAAAGAGGAAGACCCTCAATGAGGTAGATCGATACAATGGCTGCAACAATGGGTTCAACCACAGTAGTAACTGTGAGATGGCACAGGACTGAGCGGTGTTTCGTTCTGTTGTACGAAGGGCCACTGCAACTCAGAACTGACTTGGTGGCACCTCACAATATCCCATCTTGTGTACCTTATGTTTTACTATTCCCTATAGCTCTTCCCGAGGCCAGTGGGGATTCTGGGCTTGGCTTGGGGTTTGTCTCTTCTGCCTGAAGCATTTGTCTGCAGTGTCTGCCTGCTGAAGCCTGGCACCTGTCAGCTAGCCCTGCTTCTACAAGGTCTCCTGCCTACTCCGTCCCACCCAGCTTCTATTGCTTGAATTCCTGCCACACTGGCCTATCCCTAGATCTGTGAGCCATTCAAATACTGACTTGCATTTTAATCCATTGACTGCATATCTGGAACATTCAACTATAGACCACCTCCTCACTTATGGACTATCTTGTTATCTGACATTTCACATTTACTATAATAGTGAAAAAACTACTGTTCAACGGTTTTGTGCATTAACAATGTACGCCTGGCAGTCACAGATGCTGAGGCATGAAGTGAGAGGAACACTGGCTGTGATGGTTGAAGTTATGTGTCAGTTTGGCTGGGCCATGATTCTCAGTGGTTTGGCAATGTAATGATGTTGTCTTCCTCCATTTTTGCATAATGTAAATTTTCACCTAATGACTTGGTCTCTGGACCCTAACCATATAGCAAAGTGAGGAGTGGGTGTACTACAAGTTCTTAGAAGCCTTTGTGTTTCTGACTGTTCTACACATACTACGTACATATAAGGAATTTACAAACTTATCTGCATTTCTTGATGATGGTAGTAAAAGTACAACCAGATGGCCACAATTTATAGACTGCAGAGTAATCCCCAAGAGGTGTTAAAGTGATAAGAGACCAAAGGCATGGCAGGGAACTTTCTGGAGAGGAGTCTTGTTAGGAGGCTAAATTGCGGGCTTGCTGACTCACCTTGTAAAAACTCTGCCTCATAGAAGGAGCTCAGAACAGAAAGACCAATGCCTTGCAGGTCACAGTGATTTCCTTCACAGCGACCTCTACAGCAAACACTTTGTGGCCTTGTGACTAAGTCATCATCAAGGGAGGATCACCAATGAAAGACGTAAAGAAGGCTACTGCCCTTGAAGTCTGGCACCCACAGCGCTGGAGCCAGGCAGGGAGGAAAATCCCCAGCCGGCTGTGCATCCTGGTTCTGAAAATGTCTGGCAATCACCCAGTAATCCAGAAGCAAAGTCAACACGCAGTGCACTTTCCAGTGACCACAGCCATGCACCGCCCCCCTGGTCCTGCGTCCAAGATCTACCAGCATACCCCCTTTTCCTGAGCAGGTTCATGGGGAGGACAGGTGAGGCCACAGGTTTGTTTTCAAAATATCAACAGGGAGCAACCCAAAGTGAGGTATGGGGAAAAGGAGAAATAGGAGGCAGATAAAATACACACACTTGATCTGAACCCTTCTTTCACATCTAAAGCTCTTAAGAAACTAAAATTTCTATTTATGTTGATAGGTGGTCTCAGTGAACTGGGGTAGAGGGTGAAAGGGGTCTGGATGTTTTGAGAGTAACAATTCCTACACAGGGAGAACTGTTTTGCTCATGGAAGAATCTGGTAATTGTTAGCATTTTCAGTTTTCCAGGTGAAAAATGACTGATGCCTATAGCACTCACCTTTTACTGCAGACAAAAGTTAGCTTCTTCAAACAAAACCTGTCCAAACTAGCAAACAATGCCAGATCACAAAGAGACAAACACCAAGCTCTAACTAATTCATTTTGAATGAAACAGTTTGATGTAAAAATCGAAGGTCAACCTTTAATTTGGACATTTTACCATTCGGGCTAGAAATACTATTTCTTCTTTCTGGCAAAAGTAATACTGTGAAAGGCAAGAAATTCCATAGAAAGAAGAGGAAAGTAAGTCTTATGCTGCAGGTCACTACATACAGTATTTTAAGTACATATTTACTGTATGTGATTAGTTCACAAAGAATTTGGTTTAAAAATATCATTGCTTATGGCAATGTTATGAAAGATTGAGCTGTTATAAAGCATGATTTAATAGATAAAATCACTTACAGTAGCCTCATTACTATTCAATTTCATATACACTTCAAATTTCAAATACAAAGTTCTACAGATTAATTACAAATAATGTAACCAATTTAAAGACAGTTTAAAAATTCAATATGAAGTACATAAAAATAATTCATTGAATAGCTTTCATATTGCATTATATTTATAAATTTAGGAAACTGAAAAGACTTACCATTAACAGCTTTTTCATAATTTTTTCCTAGGTTTATTAAATTCCGCAGCCCGGGATTGAACTGTTCCATAACATTCTGAACAAAAAATAAACAAGACAACAAATTAATAAAATAAATGAGCCCTGGGACTGTGGTTGTAGGGGACATCAAGTTCAAATGGCATTACATATTATACAAAGACATTGTTCCACATCCTACTCTAGCAAGTAGTGACTGGGATCTTAAAAGCTTACAAGGGGCCATCTAGCTGCAATGATGGGTCTCTCCTCATCCAGAGCAAAGAAGAATGAAGAAAACCAAAGATGCATGGAGACAATTAGTTCAAGTGACTGGTACACCATGCAATCCTCAGCCTATATGACTATGAGACCAGGAGAACTAGATGGTGCCCGGCTACCACTGTCAACCATTCAGATCTATATAGGGGATCCTGGATAGAGTGGGAGAACAACGGGGAACAAAACTCAAAGTCATTTTTTAAAAAAAAAAAGGACCAAGAGGCGGGGCAAGATGGCGGACTAGGCAGAAGGATTGCACAGACCCTCTTCAACAAAGAAAAGGGAAACCAATTAACACAGACACAGAAGATAAT